ACTCGCAGCAAACGCAGCAGCAGCACGAACACACATTCAGACGTTGATGAAAGAAGGCACCGCAATAGCACACCCAAATGACGTTGATAAAGAATTAAGCAACAACAGTTGTGTTCACTGTGGTAACGCAGCTGTGTGTGTTGCTGTCTCGTAGTAACAGCTGCAGTGCTTTTCGCGACAATTGATCGTCACGCAGTGCTGCAGGCAATTCTTTCCTTCAAACAGCTATGCACAGCGACGCCTTGGCTGCGAGGTGCATGTTAGTACCTGGTGCTAGCGACTGTAAACACCGCGCACGCGGTTTCCAGCATCGTGACGGGCTGGCTAGCCAGCCCGTCTGCAGCGCTGCAGACGTCAAACAGTAACCACCTGCACGGCAGACCTGCGGCGCAGCCTCGGAGGTTTTGCTGCTCCTGCCAATAGTCCCACATGTATTGAATGCGTTTGATAGCAACAAAACATAAAGCATGCATGCAGCCACGCAATTTTTTTGGCCTGCGGTTTCTATCGTAGCAGAAACGGCCGGTACGTTCTGTCAGCACAGAACAAGCTGTGCTACACGGGTTGCTTTTTTTGTTTGATGTACAGTAATGCTGTGCTATCCGTGCTAATGCCGTGCTTCTGGTCGGTGCATGGGTTTTGCAGCATCTCGCACAGCACTCCCACCAAGAGCAAAATGGCACTCATTGTGTTCCACATGTAAACAAAGTCTGTAGTCCGTCACTGCTGGGTTGCGCTAATTATACAGGCAGCAACTGACGCCCAGCAGCAGCAACACGCTGGGCTGCAGCCATCCTGCAGTCCCCAGCCACGCCAGCAGTCATCACCAGTGCATGCAAGCTATGCTGCTAAGCATGCACAGCAACGCTCTACAATGCTGAGTGGCAGCCGCCACACTAATTGGTCACTACAGCAGTTCCCTCCAAGGAGTCCATGAAGAGAGGGTGTAGCTGCTGCCATACTGTAGCCCACCAGTTCAAAACTCAGGGGTTGAGCATGTGTCACAGGGGATACCTCATTACGTTGATCATCACCCTTGGATGCTCTGCACTGTGAGTGTGTGGCTGCAGCCTTGCAGCAAGGCGCATGTGCTATGCAGCACAGCTGTACACTGCATGTACTACAGTGCTGTGTAGCACAGCTGTTGAAGTATGACGTTGTGCTTTTACCCGGAGCCCAGGAGCCGTTAAATCCGTTCTTTTACAGCTGTACACTGCATGTAGCTAGGAGTGACTTGTCAGCAGCACACCACAGATGTCTGCTGAGGACATGCATGCCTGAATATGTTGCATGGCCGTTCGTACAGATACATCAACATTTCTTTAACAAGGAATGGTCAGATGCCATCTGGGCCATCTCACACAGTGTGTCAAAAGAGACAGCACGCTAACGCAGCAGCGTGAAAGCAAGCAAGCCAGCAGTGTCACCCGACCCTGCATGCAAGGCTGCCGCATGTAAGCAAAGCTGGCTCCACCCACTGTGCTGCGCCGCTGGTTGAACTGATGAACACGTTGCAAGCATCCAAGTCCAGAGTAGTTGCTTTGGGGGCACCAACCCTTCCGCGTACAGGAAGCACAGGCGTGTGTGGGGGGGTTTAGGTCCGAGAACAACGGGCCGTTGTCGGGGACAATTGCAATGTGCAGCGTGTGTATGTCCAATGTCTGTTGTTGTCCCTGCCAGTCAGGCGCGTTTCAGAGACGTAGCACACTATGTACAGCATGTCTTGCACGACCGTTCTGGCAGCACAGTTGCTGATGGGCAGCAGCAGCACCGTGTCAGTCACTTAAGCTGGCCCACTGCGCATATGCGGCAACGCCTCTGCTGATTACACACTATGCAGGGCTTGTTTGCCCCAGCTACCCAGCTCCAACGCATGATAATGGCATTCTACCACTGTTCATGCACTGTGGATTGGACAACAACAAGCTGGGGCAGATCCTGAACACCACTGCTAACCACTCAGTGACTGTTGCTGCTGTCCGAGGTGACTCTGCATCGCTGACAATGTTTACACGAGTAGACATTGTTTACGCGATGTAGTTACCTAACCAAGGTCACTTTTATTCCACAAGTAACCAGGTGGTATGGTGTGATCGCTCTCACACTCGGAGTGGTTCCTCTGCTTCAACCAACCTGTCATGAAGTTCAATTGAGCTGGATGACATACACCGCATGCTGCTCCATTTGTTACCTGTCGGGCCTCCGTTGAAGACGGCTTAATTCCACCCCGGTTGTGTGCCAGCGAACTTGCAAGGAGCAACATTCCACTGGACACGTCGCCCATCAGCAGCACAGCCATTTACTTTGAGTGTCATTGACGCTTTGTTGACCACTACATCATCATTGCTGATACTATCGTGACCAAGCCACAGCGATCGGCAGCATGCACTGCTTGCACAAGCAACAGCTGCCGCAGCAGGCCACCAGAGCAGCAGCCCTCCATGTTGCTTGCCCTCTAGTCAGAAGTGTAGTGCTGCGTGCAACAGCTTCAGAAATTGTTCATGTTGTGCAGCACAGTAGTGTTGCTGAGGAATTGGCGCCACAGGAAGCAGCAGTAGTCAACAGGCGCCGGATGGTCATGCTTGGCTGTGCCTGCTGCAGCAGTCTGATGCTGGCTGGGCAGCAATCTACAGCCAAAGCTAGTGACGGAGTGTTGTTCACTTACGGTGAGCACAGTGCAGCCGGAACAGGCCCTGAGCACAACTGGTATTGATAACAAGTGTGCCGGAGACATACGACTGGTGACTTGGTTGACAAAACATGCAACACAGCAGAACTGCGCACAGCAACATGTTTTTTTAGTTCTTGCTTATGTGCTTAACCTGATAGAATTCAGCTGTTGCTGACATTGCTGAGGCCGCCATTGCTAGCAATATGCCACTGTCTTGCCTCGCGCACAGCAGCTTTTTCTTGGGGGTTGAGCCTCCTTGGTCAGTTACTCGTACAGGACGGACTGTGCTGAGCGTGATTGCAGCAGCCTTTCAGTACTAGTGATAGGTGTCCGTACTGTGCAGCCGCACATACTCACCAAACCACCCCTCTTTCCCTCATCACCACATTCTGTCGTTTGCGCAATGTGCTGCTCTTGCTGCTGTTGCGTTGCTGCTTGCAGGAGAGGAGGCAGGCCCACTGTCCTGGGGAGGCAGCTGCTCCACTGGGCTGCAGCAGTCGCCCATCAACCTGCCCAGCAGCAGTGCAGCAGCCAGGGCGTGTGGCAGTCAGCCAGCACCTGAGTTCCGGTGAGCCCAGCGGCAGCCGGCACCGTCACAGCTGCAGGGTCCTGTGAGCATGCGAGTGCCGGGACTGAGGGCTGCTGGTGTGCTGCACAGTCAGCAACTCTAAGCTGCGTGGGACTGAGCGCGGCTGGTCACCCATCTACGACATGTATGCCGCTGTGCATGACTTGGCCAGCATTGCATGGCAGCGGCAAAGATGTGCGAGTGACGCGCGGAGCAGGACGCATACGACTGGGACACCACAAGTGTGCATGACCTTGACCAGAATGTTCCTGGTCCTGTTGCAGGTACCGCCGCGACAATCGAGTGCGGGTGAAGAACACAGGCACCACCATCCAGGTGAGCCTGCTGCTGCTGCCAAGCTGACGCCCCTGCCCTGACAGTGGGGCAGGGAGCTCTGACAGCACCCTGCACAAGCAGCACGGGCAAGCAGCGGCATGCAGCCATGCACGGCGCGCACGATAAGTTACGTTAGCTTGCAGCATTGCCGGTAGCAGCTGCAGCCTCTGCTATCATTCATGACTTGTGGGTGGTGCCATGGGCGGCATTGCTGTCTTTGGATTTTGGCGGCACGCCGCAGTGCCAAGTTCGCGCTGACCCGCAGCGCCTGATCGCGCGCCTGCCCGGGCTGCAGGTCAACTTTGAGCCGGGCAACAGCGTGTCGTGGGGCGGTGCGCAGCTGCAGCTGCTGCAGTACCACTTCCACACGCCCAGCGAGCATGCCTGGGGCGGCCAGCGCCGCGCCATGGAGGCCCACCTGGTGCACAGGGAGCGCGCGACAGGTGGCGCACGCTGCTGCGGCTGGTGGCTCGAGGTGGAGGCTAGCAGCAGCATGTCGGATGCATGAGTCTGGCAGATCCGCTGCCTGGGAGGCACATCCAGCACCCTGAAAGGTTACAGCAGGCAGGAATGCTCAGCATGCAGTCTCGGTATGTCGTGGTAGCAGTGGCACTGGCGGCCACAGCAGCAGCAAGGGCATGGGTGCACCAACAGTCAAGACAGCGCACCAGGCTCTTGACATCTTTGCTGTCTTCTGGAAGCTAGTAACGCAGGTGCACTGGAGTGGCAAGGCAGGCGGCGGCTCACCAGACCCCGCCGCTTTTTTGGTGCCGGCCGGCGTTGCTGGCATTGCTGCTGCAGGCCGCTTTGCCGTAGTGGCAGTGATGCTGCAGCCGTCAAGCAAGGGGTCGTCAGCACAGCCGAACCCCTGCCTTGCAGCAGCACTGGCACACGTGCCTGCTACTCCACAGGCAGAAGCAGCTTGCCCCAGCAGCGTCAACCCGCAGCAGCTGCTGCCTGCTGGTGCTGCTGCCGGCCGGTTTGTGCACTACACTGGCTCGCTGACTACGCCGCCGTGCTCGGAGCAAGTGGACTGGCTGGTGTGGGAGCAGCCGCTGCCAGTCGCAGACCAGCAGGTGTGTGAGGTGTGACATGGACCCCACTGCTGGCGTGTCACTGGCGGACTGCTGCTGGGACCCGACAACTGTGCTAAGAACCGCCACACACACAAACCTTGATGCCTGACAGTACACTGCCTGTGCCCGTGCCTGACTGGCTTGCTTCTGCGGTGTATTATATGTGCACCAAGTAAACACCTGCAGTATTTACAATCAGCAACTCATTGTTGATGGTGGGCTACTGAGGTCGCGAATTTTATTTGTTCTCCACACTTCCGCAGCTCAGTGTCAATTGATACAAACTCTTGGCAGTTTATTTGTAGAATTGTTGCTGTTGTTTTCTTACTAAAAAAGAAATAAAACAAATGTCTTCATCGTCTAGGGGTTGGGACATAGCTCTTGCACAGCTAAAACATGAGTTCAAATCTCACTGGAGATCATGAAACTCAGAAGGAGAGCTGTTCCTGTGCACTAATGATGTGCACTGCTGCATGCCGAGCAGGTGCTGGACTTCATGCACTTTGCTGGTGGTGGCCATACCTACGGCCACAACGCGCGGCCACTGCAGCAGCTCAACGGACGACCGCTGGACTACAACTGCTTGGCAGGGGCATAACAGGGCAGCACCTGCAGGTCGATAAGTGAAGCCTGATCTGTTGACTGTCCTGTGCGCCGGGGCGCCCGGGGGGGCAGCGCCTGTCGGATGCCGGCTTCAGACACCCCCCACCCCGCGCTGCACTGCATGGGGGGGGGGGGGGGGGGGCCAGGGCTGGGGCAGCAAGGCAGCGTGGCGCTGCAGGGTCCAGGGTAGTGGCAGCCTGAGCGGTGGGGTGCGGTGCATCTGCAGTCCTCGCTGCTGTGCGCCGGGGGGCTGGACGTGTGGCCTAGTAGTGTGGCCTACTGCCAGATGGCAGCCAGCAACACTGTGCAAATTGTTGCAATAGCAAGACCCCACTGTTTTATATATGCAACAGCTATAGAAGCCACCTGCTGCTGAGAGAAGGTGTGCGTGCTGGGTTTGCTGAGCATTGAGCACCTCTGCTGCCAGTGTTGGGTTTAGCTCAGTCATCCAGTACACTGCAGTTACCCCCAATGGCAGCTTGCCAGTGTCATTGTGGCCGCGCGACTGTTGTAGATCGCCAGGTTGCTGTCGATCCCCAGCGTTACATTGGTAGGACATTGCCAGCTGCAGGGCATCCCTTACTACAGTTGCAGTTGCTGACAGTCTTTGTTTTGTCATCCAGCAATGCCTGCATATGTAGCCAGCATGGTGCAGCATGGTGCTGTGTTTCAGGCAGCGGATGGCGTGCTGCGCTTGTTGTTGTGTATGTACAGCGAACCTTTTTTTCAGCTGCTCATGTTTTGCGAGCAGTGTCTGTTTCAGGGTGGTCTGGTACTGAGGTTGGGTAAGCATTTAATTTAGTCCAGAGCATACTACGATGCAGTGGGTGAAGCCAGCAGTGCTTGCATGTGGATAGTCGTTCGGGGGCCTCTGCTGTGCTTGCCAGGCTTACTTTATCGCTGGGTTTTCTACAGCAGTGGGTTCAAGGCAGTACAGACATGGACACGTACATAAGCAATTTGCATGGCGGGTCGGGTGATTCTGCTGTCCTTGCTGTGCTTTCATGCTAGCTTACAGTGCTACTACTTGACCACAGTGTTAGTGTTGCCTGATTGGTCAGTCTGAGTCGCTGGGTGACTGTGCATAACTCACAACATTTAGGACGTGCTCAGCAGCAATGGAACTGCACTGTCTGTTAGTCATCAGCGGTCATCATGCACAGCGTCATGTCTGCCGTTTGTTGAACAGTGGTGGGTGCGCAGCAGTGTGTGCATTCAGGGAAGCAGCGCGGCTGGGAACAGGAAGCTGTCAACTGTGCTTGCTGCAGCTTGTTGGTGATGTGGAACTTGGAGCCTTGCGATCAATTGTGTGATTCAACCATATCCTGCAGTACTCCTGCCCCCTTTGTGGCTGAGCAGGCACTGTTGCAGATGCATGACATGAGCTTCAGACGTATTGACCACAATGTCCTCCATATGTTCCGCTGGGCTAAAGTAGGTGTAGCCAGTAATGTACAGCAGTATGATGAAGGCTGCCTGAAAGATTGTAGTTCAATTTGGGTCTGACCTAGTGATGCTGTCCTCATCAGCAGCAGGTTGCAGGTTATCCTGACCTGACTGGTGTTAGTGCTGCCAGCACCAGTGACACCGGTGCCTGTTACGTCTGTTTGGCACAACCAGCTCAACAAGCACGCTGTGCAACGGCGACGATGCTTCTGCGGCACATGAAATGAGGTGACGAGCAGTGCATGCACCATATGTGTATGGCGTGCTTGCTTGAGGTACGCCCGCATATGCACACCAGGCTGCACTGCAGCTGGCAGCTGGAAAAATTGAGCACATTGTTCCCAGCTGGTGATCGCTGACATGACTCTACACGGAAGTTTGCGGCATTAATTAATTGAGGTCTCTGGCATTCAGGGCCACCATATTTGCCTAGTTCATGTGTGTGGCATGACGCGATCACGCACGTCAATTCCCGGCATGTCAGCAGTTCCGGGGAACTTCACACCCTTGGCACTTGGCATGTCCAGCCAATCACCGACGCCAGTTTTTTTTATGTAACTTTTGGGGTGTGATTTATCGCGCAAATTGCACACAAACTCACGTTGCTGACAGGGCCAAACCCCCGGCCCGATCGCAAGGCAAACAATTCAGCTGTCCTGCGTTGTCATCTGAGCGTTTATTTATGCGCAAGTGATAACTGGGGTCTCGTCTGAAGTGAAGTCAATGGGCCCCGGCCGATGGACTATGGTGCCGGGCTCGCTGCTGCTAAGTGCACTCATGCTAGTCGCTGCCGCATCAGGTGACAGGTCATTACACGTTAAAACTGCTCAAGGAAGTCAAATGTGGAAGCTGAGCAATTGATAGCAGCAGCATGGAGAGCAGTTGGCACATGCACACTAGCCTGATAGCAGAGTGTTTTGAAAGTTACAGCTGCAGAGATGCAAGTAGCAAGGCACATTGCATGAATCCTAACTACCAGGTAGAAAATAACTAAGGTAGGGGAACTTGCACAGCACCTGCCTTCGTGCCCACGGTCTGCAGAAGGATTGCATCAACGGCATGCTGCTCTGCTGCTGCTGCTGCTGCTGATGATGATGATGATGATGATGATGATGATGCTGCTGCTGCTGCTGCTGCTGCTGCTGCTGCAGCAGCTTCAGCTGCTGCGTCAGGTCGCCCCACATCAAGGCTGCTGGCGACTGCGTGGGACCCGCCCACGCCCCCACAACCCTCGCTGCCTTGCAAACGGACTGCAGTGAACTCCATGGGGTAGGCGCTTGAACTCTCCCGGCTGGCCCGGCTTGTCCAAATCCCACAAAGGCTATCGTGCAGCGGAAGCATGCAATTACCGGCCTTCTGATGCACACAGGCAGCAGGTGGCCAGTGCCAGCAAAAACATGCCCTTGGAAACACAAATACATACACATGTGCTGTACAGCAATCGTAGCTGCTTGATGCATGTGTTGTTTGTCACTATCGGCAGCTGTGATGGTGCATGCCATGTGGTGGCTCAGCACTGCTGAGACAGCTCAACGATGCTGCTGCCAATGTTGCCTTGGAATGCAGGTTTGTCAGCGTGTGGGTTGATGCCAGGGCGACAGGGGAGGAGCTGGGCACACAGTCGGCTCCCTACCACAGCATGCGGCCAGCAGTGGCTGCCATCCCAAAGCGCACAAAGCTGACGCGTGGCATTGTCATCAACGTCATGCCAGTGAGCAATCATGAACATCAGTGTATGTAGGACAGATGCAGCCGGCTGCCTAGCAGAAGTTCAGATATATGCAAGATTGTGGTTGTGGCCCAGTGCAGCAGCAGCAGCAGCAAGCAGCTAAGACACCGGCATTGCAGGTGGAATTGCTGTCAAGCCTCTTTTGCATGTTGCTTTCGGCTGCTCACCTGCTCCAGCCCGTCGGTGCTCCCTAGCAAAGTAGCACAAGGACAGCTGCTGTCTATGTCACGTCAGTGGATGAACCGCCACATCTCACCCCATCATCGCAACATGCATGCCACGCGCTTCAATCCTGATGTTGCAAAACCGTGCAGGGCATCGTGTACCAATCCCGTGATGTGTCACTCTGGTTTGAGAGCCTGTGGGGCACAGCCACAGCCCCGGTTGTTGTGCAGCGCGCGCCGGGCACATCAGGCGAGGCTGACCTGCAAGGTGTGGAGGTGCTGGACTGCACCTGGCTGTACTTCATTGGTGTCACTTTCCGCCAGGTACGGTGCACGCCCAGCAGCTGCGCTGGTTGGGAGAAAGCTCGGCTGCCGACGCTGTTGCTTGTGATGCTGCTGTTGGATGTGCCTCTTGCAGTGGTTGCAAGTGAAGCCGTTTCGCAAGTTGCAGCACCCTTGCGTGTGTGCTTGTGCTTATCACATCTGTGCTGCGCAAAAGCAACAACCATGCAACCTGCACATGCCTTTGTCGCTCAGCAGCAGCGCTTCCTCAACACCCTGCTTTGTTGTATATGCGGCTATGCCTCATACCCGCTATTCCTGCTGTGCTGCGCTGCAGCCTGCTGACAGCTTTGGTGGCGGTGATGTGGTGCATGTGGCGCACAGCGCGTACATCCACCTGCTGAGGGTGGCTGCCATCGGCCGGTCGGAAGGGGAGAGGATGCCGCAGGAGACTGTCAAGGTGGGGCGCTGCACCACACAGGCCGCCGCATGCAGCTGACGGCGTGACTGTGGGGTTGTAACAGCCGGAGGTCTTGAGGATGTTGTCATTGCTCAACCAGACAAGATACAGGTGACCCTCAAGACTGATAGCAGTGGTGATGCAAGTGGCGAGGTTCCTCTAAGGTTGCTCCAAAAAAACCTTGGGCGCTGCTGAGTAGGCGACTGATGCCAGCCAGGCCTGCAGACGCGCTGTAGGTTTCGCTTGCCAGTCGCGTCCTGCGCATGCCTGCCTGGCTGTTGAGCCGCATGCGCAGATGTGGTTGTTGTGCTTGCTGATGATGTGCAACTATGCAACCAGTTTTTGTGCTTGCTGATGACGCGCAACTTCACAACCCGCGACCACCAGTGTGGCGTGGCGTCTCAGCAGTAGGTTGGTTACTGTCTGAGCAGTAAACTTGCACTGATATGATGCGAACACATAGTTCTGTAGCCGGTTGTGCGCCAAGGCTCGCAGGTGCATAAGTGCATGCCAGCAACCAGCCCTGCTTGTCTGTTGCACGCCAGAGCAGGCGAAGCAGGCGCAGGACATGCGCCCTGGGAACACGGCACAGTCAGCTTGATTACAGAATGCAACCTGTAGCTGTTGTTCTGTGTGGTTCGGCTCTTCCAAGTTGGATTTCCTTGATTCTTTCTGTTGCACGGCACGTTCCTGCAGGTGGACCAGGTGCAGGTCATGTCAGCACTGCGTGCTGCAGC